TAATTTGTATAGGCAGTCCTCGACTTATGCCCACAATAGAGCCCAAAAGGTCTGTTGCTAAGCGAGACAATATGTTGTGAGTTTTGCCCTATTTTCTTCCGTCACTGATTAAGGGAATCCCTGCTGTTGTTAAGCTGGTCACACGGTTGTTAAGTGAAACTGTGTGACCAGGGAACAAGGCGACTGTCATCAAGATGAGTCCGTTGTTACAAGCATCTGAATTGTGACCACGGGGGGGGGGGGGGGGGAGAGCGGCAATGGTCATAAGTGCGGGGAAAAGGTCCTCCGTCTCTTTTTTTTTCCAGGGCCGTTTTTATTTTAGATGGTCACTAAATGGCTCATTGTAAGTCGAGGATCTCAGAAATGCTGGATTGGGAGGTCTGATCATTGCTTTCTCATTTGGCAAACCAGGATTCTGTCGTTCATCCTGGTTTGTTTGGGGTTTTTTGCTCCTGGTCCAGTGGGAAAGTTTGGGGACTAAGGATGCTCTGGTTGCCATGGCAGTCAGCTAGCACCTAGTTGCCATGGTGATGGTTGCCTGGGGGAAGAGAGAGAGAGAGAGAGAGTTATCAGGCTAAGTTTAGATCTGGGTTAAATCGTGGTCTGCCGAATGATTTCCTCGGTCTCCCAATATGAGGATGGATTTATGGCCCCGGGGCCCTCGTCCAGGCAGTCCTTGACTTACAATGATCCATTTAGTGACCAAAGTGAAAACAGCACTGAAAAAACCACTTGGGACCATTTTTCACACTTTGTGGCTGGTGGATTCTGGGAGTTGAAGTCCTCCCCTCTTAAAGCATCCTGGCTGGGGGATTCTGGGAGTGGAAGTCCTGATATAAATGTCCTAAATTGCCCTAAGGCCACATTTCCCACCATTCCAGATTTCTGCTTGCGAACCCTGACCGAAAACCACATATTTCAACCAACCAGGATTAAACAAACCATGGTTTGTGCCTTTTTCTCTGCTGGACCTTTTTTTGTTTTTGTTTCCAACCCCCTTTTTTCCCCCTCTCTGTGCAGGCTCAAGCGAGACTTTCAAGTTACGGTGTCCGACCGCATCCCGCTTAGCCAAAAGAGCCGGAAACACTTCGTGACAGTTGCCCGCTGTGACGACGTGACCCAGCCGGATTTCGCTAAGACCCGGGACGGCTTTGTTCTCCACTGGCCAATGAGCCGGTAAACCAGCATTTGCCTTGAACCCTCAAACCTCTCTGGCTCCTGGAAGAGCGGAAAAAGCGATTCCACCAATCATGAGGTCTAGCACCTTTACTCTCTTTTGAAATTGTGGTGGTGTGTGGAGCTGAGTGACGGAAGGAACGGTCCTGCCTTCCTTTTTTTATTAGCTAAAATCCCTCCTTCCATCGCCGTGAAAGCACAATACTTCTTACAGCCAGCCCTCGACTTACGACTTCCCATCTAGTGACCGTCTCAAGTTGCAAAACCGCGCTTGGGGGAAAAAAGCGACTGATGGCCATTTTTCCCACCCTTATGACCGTCGCTGCGTTCCCCGCCACCCAAACGCAGACGCACGGCCACCGACTTGGGTTTACGAAGGGGTTGCAACGTCCCTGGGTAGATCACGTTATTTCCCTCCATGCCCCCTTTGGCGACCTTCCGACAAGCGGCCGATGGGGAAGCCCGGTTCCCCAAATGACTGCTGCACTTTGCTTAACGACGGCGGGCAGGAAGGTCATCAAATGGGGTGGAGCGCAACAACGTGGCTGCTGGGGCACCCCCATCGTCATCAGTCGAGGACTCCCTGTACGAGACAATATGGCTTCAATTCCTTCTCCGGGAATCCGAAGGTCTTGGAACGGATCCAAGATCCCTAACCATGAATCGTGGTTTGAATTTGAACCCCTGGTGGAGAAGATCCATGGAAGACCAGGTCCATTAGTTACATCCACCCAACCCGTCAGAGCTGGGAGAAAGGAGATGTGATGGGTGGGATTCAACCGGTGTAACAACCAGTTTGGCTTTGCTTGCGCATGCACCAAAATGTGTGGTTTGTGCACGCGCAGCGTTTGAAAAATCAGTGTTTCGGATCTAATACTTACCTTCTACTGCAGTCCAGTGAGTAAAACACCGGAGGCACGGCAATCCGCTGTGTCGTGCGAATCAGTGGAGTTGCAAAATGCGGAAATAAAGGACAGACTAGGGCAGGGTCAAATGATCACCTGCGCAACTGGTTCGCCCAATGGTGTGAACTGGTAGAATCTCACCCATGGTCTCCTTCTGTCAACTCCTAAAACATTTCTATGGTCTTTTTAGAGCTGCCAACAGAAAGGGAGGTGGGGGAAGGGGTTTGAAAGAGCAGTGCGGCAGCTTAGAAATTGAAAGCATATTCCATGCATAGTTTTTCAGAAATAGAAACTAGGTGACTGAAGTTCCTGCCGTGCAAAATTCTAACTGGAGAGCCTGACTTGATGACTCTGGGCTGTGGACGTGTCCCATTGGAGAATATGAATTGTGATACACCCAGGGGGTGGTGGGGAAATCAGGGTCAAGGGGGATAAGGAATGATGTGCCTCAGAGTCGGCTACACCCAGGCAGCACCGGCATGTTAACTCCCAATAAATCCTTTGGAAGTTTGGCTCGAGACTCATGATTTAAATGGGGGTAACTGCTGGAATCCTGACATCCCCTCTGAAGATGGTCCATCTGGTGGGACTCAGAAGAAAGGCCTGCTCCGTGGTGGCTCCTTCAAAAGGTTCTTCGAAGGGCCATCTTTCCCCAGGGATATCTCCTTAACCCACCAGATCAGAGAGGCAGATATTATTGGTCTCCTCTCTTAGGATGGGTCCATCTGGTGGGACCATGTAGAAGAACCTTCTCTGTGGTGGCTCCCTCTGTCATTTGAAGGACGATCTTCAAATGACACCCACCCGACTCACCGGAGCTGGAAGGCAGGAGATTTTATGGGGTCCCCTCTTTAAAGAGGTCCATCTAGGGCAGGGGTCAGCAACCTTAAACACTCAAAGAACCACAAAAGGTCCCAACCGGAAGCTCACCCTCCCCTGGCTGACCGGAAGTCCGGTTCCCCACCACCATACAGTCTCCCCCTAGCCCAGCGTACTTTTTTCCTTTTACCGACTGGTGACAGGTGATGAAAGAGCCACATGCAACTCTAGAGCCGTGGTTTGCCAACTCCTGTTCTAGGAGGACCTTCTCTATGGTGGCTCCTTCCCTATGGAGATAAGGACTGGCCTCCATCTTGGTAGTTCTTCAGAAGGTCCTGAAGGACTTCCGGTTTGTAGCACTTTGGGGCTGGCAGGAATCCGCGATCGTGCGCGGTTTCTGCCTGTGCTCGCCGCTAAAGTGCCCTAAGCCACCCGGCTTTAGGGCTAGCCACCTCCGTAGAAGGTGGTGAAGATAGGGGGGATCTGGCAGAGTCGAGAGAAATCGCACCTCTCTTCCCTAGCCGGCTAAACCCCTTTTTCCGAAGGCGGTAGAGCGGCAGTCAGAAATGGCCGCCACAAAGAAGCGCTCAGCCAGAAAAGAAAGTGCAGGAGGAGTTAAGAAGAAGTGAAGGTTTTTTTGCTGACCAGGACAAAGCAACAACGAAGGTATCCTGGAACTTAAAATTTGCGAGAGATACATCGTTCCCAGAGATTTACAAGCGGCGAATGGAAGTTAAAAGGGAAAGTTCTTTTTTTTCACTCTCCTTCCTAACGTTGACAGCAAACAGAAATACATGAGAAATCGGAAAAACCCGCTTTGGCATTAATAGGTAAACTGGATAACTAAATGCTAAAGGGATAATAAGGATTTCTGAATATATTTTTTTTAATTTGTTTGCTGTAAGTGGGAAGGGAGAGGAAAAGAATTGGAGCAGGATTTGGAAGTAAGGAGGAGATTGCCTACAATTTTAAAGAATCATTAAATACTAACAAGACTTCTAAAAGATACATTTTAACTGGAACTTTGCAACTAAACAGTAACCCCAGAAAGAGAAAGTGAAGAAAGAAGAAAGTGCTAAAAGAAACAGCTTATTTGGACTGTTTGGTGACTTTGGGACTTTTGGAAATTATCTTTGAAGGACTAAAATCACTTGGGTGGTTGTTTTGGAAAAAAAAATTCTCTCTACAATGGCATCACTTGTGGATGAATTGAAAATTGAATTCAAAAAATACAAAGAAGAGGAACAAGAAGGGAAAGACTCTCTTGGCACTCTTTTTCAATTCTTAGAAATGGCGATTTGCACCTATGAGAAACTGACTGCGCAACAAGATGATTGGGACAAAGAAGAAGCCATCTTTGATGAACAAGTAACTTTATTTGGGGAAGAAAGGGAGAAGGAGGAAAAGAAAAAGGGGACTTTAAGATGTAAAAAAACAACCAAAAAAGAGAAAAATAAGGTGAAAAGTGGACATAATGTTAGAAAACAACAGAAAGGGGGAATACAGAAGAGGAAAAGGGAGGTGGAGAGACAAGGGGGTAAAAAGGGTAGGGAGAAGAAGAAGCAAGGGAGGAAGGAAGGGATGAGAAGCTTCAATGATGTGGAGCAAGATGTAAAGAAACAAAATTCATTTAGAGATAATGGGTAAAAATTTAATTGAAAAAGGAATTCTGCAAAGGTACATAAGATTGTATTGTTATATTTGTACTTAGAAATAATGTTAGAAAATTAGAAACAACATGTGATCCAAAAATGGGATAAAATATCCAGTGTAACTTAGTGAAATTTTTGTGAATAAAAGGAAGGCAATTAAATAAATGAGAGAATTGAAGTAGGAAGAAATGGGAACATTTTAATGATGCAATGATTTAAAATATAAGTGATGTGAAGTGGGGGGGGGGAATAACTATGGAAAGTTAAGTGTTCCCATAAAAGTATGATATTCAATTGAAAAATAATGTGTAAAATGTTTAAGATTTAAATGAATATTAATATTAATGATAGATTTGAATTGACATGGATAGTTGCTTTAATTATATTACATACTTATAAACTTTTCTTTTTCTAAAATATAATGTGTAACTTTAGAATGTACTAAACAGAATCCCAATGGAAGTTATGTACTATACTAAGTGTTATAAATTTAGGGGAAAGAGTTAAAGGCGTCACACTCCAATTAGATGTACAGGAGAAATTTTGTTTAAAGAGAAAAGATAAATGGATAGCTGGAAACAGAACAGACAAAGAATAATAAGCATAATGATCTGAATTGAGATGAGATAAATAAAATAAAATTAAGAAAGTTAAAAGAGGGGAGAAGCTATATAGAAAATGGAAAATGGTAATAAGATATGGAATGGTATATAAAATGAACATGAATTTGAATTTGTGTCTGTATGAAGAGATGTAACCCGGGATCAAGCAGCTTTCAGAAAAGATATTTTATGTTTTGTTTGTTTGTGTATTGTCTTTGAAAATTAATAAAATTTTGTTTTTTTTTTAAAAAAAAGAAGGTCCTGAAGACCTGGTTCTATGAAAGGATCGAGGGATTCCCCAGGGTAATACGGAGCTCCACCATTGGTCACTTGGTGTGATGTCACCAGGAGGGCGTGGCTTACTGGGGTTGTAGTTTTGGAAGCCCTCCAGAGTTCATTGAGTTCATTGGCCGTCCGCATCGATGCTTTTAATAAAGAAATCTTTTTTAAAAAATTTAAATTGAGAAGACCATCTCTCTCTCTCTCTCTCATTGTATCTGCTCAATTCAACCCCACAGGGTTGGCACACTGGGGCTCCTTTGAGGCCATCTATCAAGACCCCAGGATTGCCTTACCCCCTGCCCAAATGCGGAGGACCCCAGTTCTGCTGCTGTTTCGAATGGGGCTTGGAGAAAACCTGGCTTTTAAAAGATGATTTCATTTTTGGTCCTGTCTGCCTGGTCTGGCCATCTTTTACAACCGGTCCTCGACTTTCTGACAGTTCGTTTAGTGACCGTCGGAAGTGACAACGACCCTTGGGGGGGGAGCTCGATTTCCCCCCCCACACACTTATGACCGTGGTAGCATCCCCGGGGTCCAAATTCAGATACTTGCCCCCGACTCGGTTTTACGACGGTTGCGGCGACCCTTTGATGGACTTCCCACCAGTGAAGTTGATGCTTTGCTTAACGACCAAACGACGGGGGACAACAAGAAGAAAGCCAGTTGAATGGGGCAGAACTCACTTAACAACAGTCCTGCTTAGTGACAGAAAGGTCTAGTCCAGTCGTGGTCATAAGGCTGAGGATGATCTGGATTCCTCTGTCCCCTCGATCATGTCGTTCTTTTTCATGTGGTGCATTGTCCCAAGTCCGGCTTGGTAAAGGCAGTCCTCTACTTATGATGGCAGCCCTTCACAGTCATAAACCAAGAGGATTGTAATAAAACGGGGGGGGGGGTGTCCTGTGATTTTAAAAACCCATGTTTGCGGTGGTTGGTAAGTGAATCACAATGGTCATTAAGTGAATCCATGGTTGTTAAGCGAACTTTGCTCTGGGTGAGGATCGGAAGTCAGTCGTGCGGAAAGCGTCCTCAACGAAGGGCAATTTGTTTAGCGACCGTTCAAAGTTACAACGGCGCAGAAAAGAGCAACTTAACAACCAATTTTCACACTTACAATGGGCAAAATGTCCGGGGGTGCCAGATCGGCATTAGAAACCTTTCCAGCTGGGTATTTCTAACAAGGAACCTCAAAGTGGGGTGGGGGGACACTGGATTCGCTTAATGACACCCCGATTCACTTAATGAATCTCTTCTGGCAAGAGAAGCTGTAAAACGGGGCAAAACTCCCTGAACAACTGCCTTGCTTAGCGACGGGGCTCAATTGTGGTCGTAAGTTGATGACTATCCTCAAACAATGCTGGAAAAGGGTCCAGCAATGAGACCTTATGGGTTTTTTCCTCGAAAAGGTTTCCCTTCTCATCTGAGAAGCTTCTTCAGTTCTGGTGGAGGATGGAAGGATTGCTATTCTTTGCGGACAACTGGTCATTTGCATCCTTTTTAGAGAGGCATTGAGGCCGCTTGGACGTTTGTCCATGTCCTCTGGATCCAACTGAGTCGTGCAGATGGGGGTGGAGCCTTAGTCCAAATGAGGGTGAAGCAAATGGCTGTGGAGGCTCCGCCCCCTTTTGCACCACTCAGGTCCTGAGGACACAGACAAACCTCCAAGCTGCCTCTATGGCTCCGTGAAAAGGACTCAAATGACCAGCTTTTCACAGGTAATATAAATCCATCCAATCCAAGAGTTTGGGGTTTTTTTTCCTTGAAGAGGTTTCCCTTCTCATCTGAGAAGCTTCTTCAGTTCTGGTGGAGGATGGAAGGATTGATACTCTTTGCAGACAGCTGGTCATTTGCATCCTTTTTAGAGAGCCGTTGAGGCCGCTTGGAGGTTTGTCTGTGCGCTCGAGATCTAGCTGAATAGTAGAGATGGGGTGGTACCTTAGTCCAAATTGGGGGGCGAGCAAATGGCTGTGAAGGCTCCGACTCCATTTGCACCATTAAGAAGACCCTGAGGACACAGA